CACTTATCTTCCTGTTCGAAATTTGCGGAGAGGATTCTCACATATCCTGATCACCCATTGCACGCAGAACTGACACGTCGTTTTCATCATTTAGCACGCTCCCGATTCCGTCAAATTTCATATGGAATGAACGCATACTGCAATTCACCTATAGCGTATCTTGCTTGTCTACTCATAAACAAAGAGCGGACAATAAGTGAACTTTGTCTTAACCTTGGATTATGAAATGTCCCTATGTCTGTAAAAGCGTTTCTCCCCGTTGATTGTGACGGTTAGCGTAAATGAAATGTGAGCTCCAGTGCTTGTAAAAGTTATATATAATACAATGCAATACGTTGCTACTTGCCCACGTGATTTTCGTTGATTCCCAAGCTACCGAGAGGGCGAAATTCAAGTCTTCGGTTCGTGCTGAGTAAATGCCTTGTCGTGATTTCAGCCCGTTGCTCAATAAACAGGCTTCCATGTGCAATTATGGAGACTGGCCGGAACAGCACTTATGTGATCGCCTTATTGTAGGAATTCACAATATGATTCGCCAAAAATGTTGCTTGGAAGAAGGACCTAATACCTCTTGATGCTCGAGGGACATGTGAGCAGCAGCATGATGATCTTACTACAGGAACAACCCTGAGTCGTTACATTATTTCAGAACAATTCAAGAAAGAATAGACCCCCGGTTCAGTCCAAACCTCTTTATATCCAGACGAACATTAATCGGTATATGTCTTGCGGCAAATTCTATCTACGGTTCAACTGCCGATTGAGAGATGCGAAGTGTCATGCCTGTGGTAAAGTCAGTCATATGCTGTCAACGGAGATGCAACATAGTGAGGAGTATATCTTGCTATCAAGATGAACCCACCCAATTTATACATTACGAACAACGGGTGAATACAGGCAATTCATTTAAAGGATATTGTTTTGAAATCCGGAGTTTGATTCAAGCTTATTGTGAATACCGGCAGTGGTGGGTCCATCATTTCACGTGGAACTCTTAAAAACGTATGTATAAATGCAACCGTGAAACCCACTGCAACACTAATCCATGGTGAAAATGTGCACCTGCTTCCGCTATTAGGTGAAGCGACCTTATCGATTCATTCCCACGATAACCTTTTGTTCCCATCCTATTCTTGGTATCGCAAAACAGTCCGTCTAGTTTCCGATTTATGGCAATGAACAGGCTTGGACATCCATTATCCTTCATGCGAGTGAATCGAAATCCGATAGTACTGAAAAAATCCAAAGCTGGTGATACGGTGTACTGAAAATACGAGCGAAACGAGCATTCCGGAAGCATTGTTCTAGGTTGACAATAGGCCAGCATCTCTGAAAAGACGTGTCTTACCATAGGGACAGTGCGGCGGAGTGTTGAAGGCGACCGAACGAACGTAGGAGAACTGTGTTATTTCCCGAGTGCTGTCATCAGCGTAGGCCACTCCGAATGTAGTGACAAGGAAAACTGATGGCAGAAGTCCGAGGATATGTGGTGATTACCGATTAACACTCAATCGTCGATTGCGAAAATTTGCAGTGAGGAGAATCGAAACGCAATAAGTGCAACTACGAAAGAAACATCGGCAAAGCTGAACAGAACAAGTTAAGATCTTACATGAGATGTATAGATTCTGCCAACGCGATATACCTCAGGGGTAACGATCAGCGAGCCGTTCGTGGCATCATCACCAGGAGGTTGGGCCAGTTATTGGTGGATTTCCTAATTGTGCGGAATTTCTCAATATTGACTTAAATAGCCCTAGCAACAAATCATCACGAGTTTTTCAATGTCTGAACAGTCCCAACCCTCCATTTTCTGTTATTCTTGATATTGCGTTGGCACCAACCTTGCTCATCGGCCGTTGATAAATAAATATCTATAACGACCGAACAAAATCCTAACAGCGGAGAACAAGCTCCATTTCATTGATTAGCATTCATGCTAATACATTCTAATATATGTCACTAAGTGGAGAGAAAATTGTCCCGGAGAAGGAACATCGGACAATAAATTACTTGGATCAATTTCATCTGGTGACGAGTATGACATCCACAATTATCACACAGTTGCTCCTTCATTCATCAAACCATCTGGATTATTCGGCGTGTAGGGTGTGCGGGTACAGGTCAGGGAAGCTTACCGTTAGAAGATTCGGGATATTGCTAACTCCAGAACTGTCATTTTGAACCGTTTTGGGGTATTAATCGTTCTAGAAATTGGAAGCACAGTTTCCCCGTAATGCATTTGAACAGAAAAGCCAAAACACATATTCGGACAATGTATTCTGGGTCGTGTTGCTGCATCTGAACACGTGCATACTGCCGTTTATGTAATCATTAATATATGGTCAAAAATAAAAGATTCATTGGCCGAGAAAGATTGTGGACAAGGTCACTCACCAAACACATTTGTTACCAAGATAGCGCCAGAGTGATAAGCCATTCACGATGTTTACATAGTTGCGGTTGGTAATGTCGAGTCACTAGTACCTCGGAGTATTTCGAAACCCTGGTTCTATTTCTGTGCTAGAACATTCTGAACGTTTCTAGCAGCATGATACAGTGCTTCATTTCAATCAGGTGTTGTGTGATGTACGAACTGAGTTTCTTACGTCTCATCGGTGCTGTCATAATTCTAAAGTTTCCACTCCTGCTTTTCTGAAAACAAACAGGGCTGTGCTCGGTAACGCAGGTCTTTTTACATTCTGCCGATGCATGGGGATTGAAGTCCTGGCGTTCGCAATGGAAGTTACAGATACAAATAGTGGTTATTTCACCGAGGGTTTAGGCAAACCGGTCGGTTGTGAAAACAATTGAGTTCACCTGCTTATTAGGTGCACCTGACGGTACATTTCAAGTGGTTGCTAATCGGCGAGCTGAAATTGTAATCACTGTAGGGCGCTTGAAGGACTAATCTCATCTGATCTGCATCTAGTATCTTTTCCCGTGCACATTTAAGTTAGGAATGCTTTCAGCTTAACCCCTTTGGATGTCCGTCAGATTGTACAACTTTTCTAATCATGTCACAGTTGTTATCCAGTGTGAATCTATCGCGCCCTGCAGAGAAGCGTTCGAACTAGACAGATAATAGAGAAAAGCTGCTAAAATTGAAAATATTGTCCAAACCGTATATCCTTTCGGTACAAAAATCTGACTGATCCATCCGTTCGACGTGAAACGTCCCCTCCCACAAAGGCGATACTGTCTTGCATTTCATTATGACGCATTTATATTATGCTCAGGTTTAAATGATTCAAGCGTCTTCTTTTTTTGTCACAAATAAACAAAATGTTAGCAAAATATGTGGCTTAAGCTCATTCTTTTGATTACGTCTGGCAGGTTATGTCCAAGGTAACCGTTGAAAATGTCTAGAGGAATGGGCCCCGGCAGACTGTCCGTAGCAACTCCATCTATCTTCTTTATCTCCAACTATGTAAACATCGTGAATGGCTTATCACTCTGGCGCTATCTTGGTAACAAATGTGTTTGGTGAGTGACCTTGTCCACAATCTTTCTCGGCCAATGAATCTTTTATTTTTGACCATATATTAATGATTACATAAACGGCAGTATGCACGTGTTCAGATGCAGCAACACGACCCAGAATACATTGTCCGAATATGTGTTTTGGCTTTTCTGTTCAAATGCATTACGGGGAAACTGTGCTTCCAATTTCTAGAACGATTAATACCCCAAAACGGTTCAAAATGACAGTTCTGGAGTTAGCAATATCCCGAATCTTCTAACGGTAAGCTTCCCTGACCTGTACCCGCACACCCTACACGCCGAATAATCCAGATGGTTTGATGAATGAAGGAGCAACTGTGTGATAATTGTGGATGTCATACTCGTCACCAGATGAAATTGATCCAAGTAATTTATTGTCCGATGTTCCTTCTCCGGGACAATTTTCTCTCCACTTAGTGACATATATTAGAATGTATTAGCATGAATGCTAATCAATGAAATGGAGGTTGTTCACCGTTCTCTTCTTTTCATAGTGTTCATAGTGTTCAAATATTCAAAAGCTCGTGATGATTTATTGCTAGGGATGCTAACGTCAATGTGGAATAATGCCGCACAGTTGGGAAATAGTATCTTGGATCTATTGAAGTATTATTTGTAAAAACACAATTCAACTGCTCTCGTAATTATTTCATGTTCTTCCCGTTGTGATATAAAAACCGAGAACCTAGGAACTGCTAGAGTCAATTGTCATTCCTCCACAGTAAGTCATCAATTCATCACGAAATGCCCTGTGTCACATTAATTGCAAATGAGGATGACTGCAGAAACGTTTTTTTACATAACTCAGAGTAATGGATTAGGTTTGAGAAATGTCAGAACGCCGTGTATCCAAGGTTACGGGCACTTCTGGCGAACCTCTAGAATAACACACTGCGTTAAAGGAAGTAGTAAACGAACAGTACGTGGTACATCTACTCCGTTTCCTGTTTAACAGATGGAAATTTGTTCGCATGAACGTTCGTTTATTGGCACGGTCATCGTATAACTGACTCGATTATTGATTCAAAAAAGGAAATATTACCGAATCGAACTGGACGAATACTGACGAAGGTACCAGATGCATACAACTAATGACGATGACATCTCATGGTTACCCTAACAGTAAGTGGTCGTTAGAGGAAGGAATGCATATGGAACACGTTCCAGTGTTGACTTGTGTTCCATGACCCTAATAAAAAATAACAACAGAAACTGTAAGGCTGATTGAAGTGTCAAGCCATCAAAGTATAATCATCAGAAGGAACCATCCTAAATACAATGTGCCTCTGTCTGTAGGCTGTTTTTGTGTCACCCTGATAGACGACTAAATCCTTTATGTGATCGAAAACTTTCCTCAGTCAATGTTCGTTTCGAACTACAAATCTACGGGAAAAAGCAAGTCAATTTAGAGATATTCGCTTTTCAACAGGAAGATTAGACAACCAATGAAACCATAAACATAGGAATAGATAAAAGAACAAGAATCTGTCAAAACCTCATCCGTTATACGGATTATTGAGTAAAGGAACATGCTTTTGAGAAACGAGATAGCCGTCTGAGTTCAGGGTGACAAGAGAATGAGTCTGTGGTGGTTGTGGGAGCAGTTGTGCAACTGACGTCGCCCCGGTTCGGTTCAAAGCGTCCACAACATTCGACTTTGAAGTGAAACAAGAAATGACTTTCATCATTGGTTGGACTGAAGAACAGACTCGATCCACCGGTTGTTTATTCCGATCCACCTGTGAGTTATCACGTGTGAGGTCTGAGCTGGATAATTCCATCAAAGAAGGTTCGGAATGAATGAGACGTTCGGATGGGGTCGGAGTAAAACCTGGCTGAACCACGGAAGAATTGCTAGTTGGAATGGTTTCTAACCGAGATATAGTCCGGTTATTGGGCGGCGGGTGTATCCAAGCCTGTGTCATGGGAATACGCGAATTCGTCGCAGTTTCAGACCAATGTTTCCTGAGAAAATCCAGCGAACCTTTGCTTTCCGTGGTGATCTGCAAAATAGGAGAACGAGTGTTGTGACGCCAAGCGATGGAACAAATATGACAGTAAATTGGGTTTGTACTCCCAAAAAATAGTGTCCGTAAGTTCTGCAATATTCCTTTTCGCAAGTTGAGTACACTGCAAACAAAAGAAACAATAAAAGGCCGACCATTTACTTCTTCATTCCATACGAATTTTACATATACCTGTGATTTTGATTTTGTGTGGGTTTTAATCACCGAACAGGTAATCCAGGTATTTGTCACGCTATGGACTAAATACCTTCCGCTATAGTTCTAGTAATGGCCATTTTGAGAAAACATTACAGGTCGAGGAACATTTCTACTGTGACCGACTGTACGGAAATATCCGTACAATTTTAAACATTTGCCACACATTATTGTTCTCCACAATCCATCTGTATATTCACATCGACATTTAAGCATCAACACATGAAAACACTTGTTTTAAGCAGACTAGGTTTACGTCGCCGTGCTCGTCAGTTTTTATCGATTTGCACCAGCTCGTCCCGATACATGCACTGCGACATCGCACTCTAATAGACATCTGAAGTAAACGTCAGTCTTTC